AAGTACACCCCGTGGAAAATAAAAATGTTTATTTGAACACATCACATCACATAGATAGAGATCCGGATGATTAAGTACAAAACATTTTTTAAAATCTTACTCAAATTAAACACGACATAAACAGGAAACCTGAACAGTTTGCCAATTAACTTATAGGCATAGACCAGGCATTTTGGAATAATGCACTTTTCAGCAGAAGAACCTCATTCCAAGTGCTAAAAATATTGTGTCTCAGGGGCAGCTCATAGTCATTGATTCAACTGTGAATCCGGCGCTATATCAAAGAATGCTTGAAGTTAATGTGAGGCCATCTGTCCGAAAGTTGAAGTTGTGCCAGAAGCAGACCTTTCAACAGGATGTGATCATGTGTTGTACATGCGTGTATTATTGAAACTGAGTGGCGCTAGCTGATTGGCCCTACCTCAGCACTCTACAAATCCACCTAGGAATGGCTCAAAATGAAGAAACAGGGTGTTATGGAACGACCTAAATCAAATAAAATATGTAAATCCTATTGCAATATTGTGGAAGGATTTGAAACGGTCAGCAAGAAAATCTTCAAATATCTTGCGGCTGAAGGAGTTTTGCTTGGAAACATGGTCGCATGCCAGTGTGAGAATCAGCTGGACAATTACACAAAACGCCTACAAGAAGTTATGTCTGCAAAGGGGGCAGTACTAGCTTACTTTGGCCTTAAATTAGTATTGGATCTGTTGATATTTTTGTGAAATAAATGTTTGCAAAATCTAATTTCCTTGTGGTTGTATTCAAATATAACACCTCTATCTGTAAGCACTGTGTCAAATGTTGAGGATTACACATTTGCTTTTCTAAATATGCCTACAAAAAAGCCAGCAGTTTCCATTGAATATGCTTATTTTTCACAGTAAACAAAATACTAGCTGCTCCCTATGTGCTTTTTTTGTGTTTTACGGCTAAACAATGTTTAATAAAAGGTACAACTTTAAAACAATGCCTTCAAGTACAACTACATCAAAATCGCTTTTTAAATCCTCACTGTCACAGCTGACTAGTTGAATAGAAAAGCAGTCTTTGTTAACGTTAGGAATAGCTTTTACTTTTAAGATCAAAACAGTCGTTGCAGCCTGGCTCCGGCATATTTTCCTTTAGGGGAACTGGTGACTCACTATGGTTTACTCACCATAGAGACTTTTTTTTTTTACAGCAGACATTTTGACTTCGCCGAGCAAGGGAGTCACAGACGAGGCCAGTTTTGTTAACGGCAGCTCAGTTAGGTGTCCAGTAAACTGCAATAAAAGGATCCTTCAGCCTGCTAGCCTACAGTTGTTTGTAATGTTATGAAGTACCCCTGTGCTTTCACTGCTATGACAAGCTTTGAAAAGGTCTGCTGGCCTGCACGAGATCCCTCCCTGTGATGGTGCATTAGAGCATCTTGCAGGATCGGACAAAGCATCAATTAGCCCCACGTGCCTAATATAAGGTTTCCCAGCAGACCATTGCATTGTAATGTGATAATCAGTGTTATATGCCGTGTCTTTCAGTGGTTTTAATGTTGTGGCGCATCAGTGTGAATACACAGTTTGATTTAGCAGCCGCAGGAAAAGAAGGAAATGATTAATACCACGGTGTGTCTCCATTTAGATGCTCCACTTGCTTGTATTGTACATACTCGCTGATGGAACAAAGTTATCATCAGTGTAATTTGTAACACCTGTAATTTTCCTGCGCTGACAAGTCAGAGTGTTTCCAGTGTAGGAAATTTTATTGGACTTAATCCCTTTTGACTGCAGCCATTTTGACTTGTCTCAACAGGAAAAGCACAGATGAGACCAATTACCTTAACGATGGCTCGGGTCCATAAGACGTGAGGGTAAGCAGGACTGAACAATACAAGAACCCTGGGACGAGCTTATCTACAGGGAATCTTTTTTTTTTTAGGCTTCCATATTGTGCACCTTCTCAGCAAATTAATAAAAATGACATGTCCCCAGAATATGTCTTTTAATTTTTCAGTTAAAATTGTGTAACCCCCGGTTTCAGTCCTGTCCTGAACAGGCTACATCAGTGTCTGTATGTTTTAAATGCAGTTCAATAATCTTTCAAGTATCAGAGATTTTGCCATGCACATTTTTAGCAACCTTTCTTATCTCTGATTGTGAAACTCTGTATGCCATGATCACAAGGTGTTTTTATCGCTCCCTTTGCTCGACAACCTCAAATCTGTTAGGCTACAAAATGAAGTGTCCTTAATATTAAAACTGAACTGGGATGAAAACAGACACTAGCAGTTTAGATTGTTGATGCTATCCAAATATTAATGTAATATATGATCAGGAACCGAATGGCGTGTGTCCTTGTTTGGCCTGTACGAGCCAGAAATGGTAGCTCATTGCCTAAATATTGACTTTAACTCAACCTTAAAGGAGCTGCACTGCACTCAGAGACATGTTTAACTGAATATATGCTTAAGAGGCATTTTTAAAAAATGAAAATGTACAACAGTCTAAACATTTTACCTGTTATGACCTGTTATGATAAAAAAAAAAAGACAGTTTATTAATATAATCCAAGGTTTTTTTTTTTCTCCACAAGCAGTTTGTTGGGTCCATCTGTTTGGGATTATTCTCTCTGAGTTTATTTAATACATGCAGCAGCAGGATTCATATATCAAAGAGAAAGAGTTATGCACATTTGCACAAGTGGAATAATTACATGGAAAGCGAGGCCAGGATCTGACGACAGGTCACACTGTCAGGGCCTACATGTCCTCACATCAGACAGGTGAGCTGTCAAATGGCAGTTTAGTTTGTTGCTTCCAGCTGTTTAGGACTGTTTTGTTTATTATATTTGTTAAATACCTGCAGCAAGATCCATAAGAGCGTCTCCAAATAGAGAGAGAGAGATGGACACATTTATGGACAGAGTAGTAACTTCAAGCAAACACTGTACTTTTCCTTGCCTCAGGCAGGTGAGCTGTCACACATAGTCATAGTTTAACAGCTTACATCGCAGCTGTCCAAAGGTTGAAGCCAGAACTTTCAGTTTCACTGTTTAAGAAATTAGAAATAAA